GTTGAAATTATTTTTTTAAGCACGTAGGTACCTATGATGAGTTAGAAAAATAGCTCTAAGAATGTTTTTATGACTCAAATTCTACAAATACACTTGATTCGATAAGATGTGGGAATTACCTATGACGATAGGTAACTAATATAAAGTGGACAAATAGTCTTTGACGTATGAATATTTCAAGACATTTTAAAGTAGCTCTAATTAATAAAACCTGATCTACTTCTCATAGGCACAAGTTTATCCAGTTTTTTGTTTGCTTTATTTCTATTTGGAGACACACACACTAACACAGCATGTGATTAATATGTAACTCCACAAAACTTTTGACTAACAACTTTCAAATTCAAACTTAGATTTAATAAAAACCCTCAACTATGTGCTTATTGGTTTGAGTTCCTACATTTTTTCAAAAATAATTAAAATATCTCTTTTTTACTACAACAAATTTATTTGCTATACAAAATAGCAATGATGCCTTTGGGGTACTCTCCTAGGTGACATCGATGCGGACGATTATGTTGACGCTCTTTGAAACTAAGTATCTTTAATTTTCTGTTTAAAAAACGCGGACAGAGTCTCTTGAAACAACGACTGTGGCATCAGGGTACTACCTATATACTTACACGCAGAACATACACACATTGACACGAACGGCCTGTCTTTTTTTTAAGTCTGGTAACGTGGTAACCTATTACACACGCACACATATATAACCCACTGACATTTTTGAACTTCAATAATTTCTAAGTGACATTATGTCGGCCTTTTTTTTCATCATCCTGGATAAGTACTGTGTTTCAGTCTCAATATAAAGGGTTCCTATAGCGACAATAATAGGACAAAAATCATAGAGTACTAAGAAACAGAATATCGACACCTACTTAGCTTAATATTTGCAGAGTCACCTAGCAACATAATATTTCATTCCAACTTATTCCTACTTAGTGATAGAAGCTCAACATCGTAAACGAAGTTCTGCTGAGTCACCGTGATCAATTACAACTCTTACGTATCAATATCTAAAGTTAATTATCGTTTGTCAAAATATTATTTATCTATATACTTTTATCGTTTTATGAGATAATGGTTTGATTTTTTGTAAGTAAAATTTTTTGTGGTTGTCAGATTTCGAGGACGACTTAATTGGATGAAGTAAAATTTAGTTAATTTATAATGTTATGTCCAAAAAAAATATATGTATTTTTTATGGATTTTTTTTTTAAGGGGGGAAAATCATTGAATGACTGCTCTCGCCTGGGTCAGGCGGAAGGGAGTGTCAGCCTCTTACTAAATAAAAACCACCCCGTTCCTTCTCCTGCACGTCGAGCCGGAGACCCGGTTACCCGTTAGGTTCTCCGCGACTCCGAATCGGCAACAGCCCTATTGGGCCCCATCTGTGGTGGTCTGAAGGCTCTTTGAGGCGCGCGCGGAACGCGACACGCCGTACGCTCGGGATTTTTTTATGGAATAGGAAGCAAACGAGCAGACGGATCACCTGATTATATTATTATTATTATACACATGTATATGGCAATATGGTAATAGGCTAACCCTATTACACGGGACTCATAACATAATATAAATAGTGGAAAGCGGTTATATTGAATAGTGGCATTAAGACTTTGACTGCCAATAGAAAATTGTTGAAGGTAAATGAGTTCCTGAATGAAAAATAATTATTTGAAGGTGAACGATTAGTTTGATGAACAGTTTGTTATTAATCAATGAGGCTTGACTACATTATATTGTATTAAGAGTATTTAAGTTAAGTTTTATTAGTGGAATTATTATAAGATGTTGATCTCATTAGAAATAAGATTTTACAGTTATAACTGTTACTATGAAAAATAATATATTATTCACTTGTCTATTAAAGACACACTTAGGTACTAAAAACTGATTTAAAATTTCATATGACCTTGATTTTTAAATTGACATTCTTGACTTTAATTAACCTTTGTTTCTTTGTATTAATTCAATTAAAATATTATATATTAATATTTGTACGCCAAGTAAGGCGAAACATAGTGTAACTAAACCTGTTATTAACTTATGAACATCCATGTAATACCACCTATGTTACAAATAAATAATTGATTATGATTATGAAAAAAAAAAAAAAAAAAATCCTCCGCTAACGCCGGTCACCGGCGACCCCTACTGCATTTAACGTGTTTAGTGCGGTTACCTCTGTGTACCTTTTCGGGGATAAAAGGTGTGATGTTATGTTATTCAAAGAAATAAAATATAAATTATAGCTCAAAATTATAAATCCTGAAGTATGTCTTCTACTTCGACTTTATTAAAAAACAATATTTAAGCTAAATGAAGAAAAAAAGTTCGTGCATTAATTTCAATGCGCTACAAACAGTCTTCAGATTTCTGTCTATAGTTTGCCAAAAACCACACAAACTGGCGAAACAGTTAATATCTCTTATTTCTCACCCCCCTTATGTTATGGGTTACTGGTTCAGACGTCGAACACAAATCTCTTTGCAAACACCAAAGAATTTCCCTTCGTTGACCCTCGTAAGTTATACCTTTTCCCTTAGTTAAATCTCGTTCGAGAGATAAATGTCGAAAGAAATACGACTGTTGGATATGTAACTTTGTTACTTAGAATTAGAGCTGATCTTAGATTGTTTCAAACGATATTCTGAAATACGGAGGTTGGAAAAATTGGGAACGATCATTCATGAACCGACTACAAAAAGAAAAAAGGAAGTTCTAAGTTGTATGTATGTAGCTAAGGAGGAAGCGGGGCACATGAGGCAGCGAAGTGCTGCCTCTTCACAATCCAGTCGTCGCGAAAGACACTCCGGGCGTCGGGAATCGCGAGACGATCTCCGGCCATCGTAAGCGCGGGCCTGTGGACGGCGAGCATGCGTAGCTCGCCGCCCGACCAGATCCAGACCCGAGCGTACATGGGGTCCAATAGGGCTGATGCCGATACGGAGTCGCGGAGAACCTAACGGGTTACCGGGGCTCCGGCTCAAAGTGCAGGAGTAGGAACGGGGTAGTTTTATAGTCAGTAAGAGTCCGACACTTCCTCCCGCCTCACCCAGGCGGGAGCAGTCATTCGATGATTGTCCACCCTTAAAAAAAATAAAAAAAGTTGTATGTATGTTTGTGCGCTATTATCTTGCTAGATAGATTAGCAGGATGGAATGAGACACCCACCTAAGTGTCTTTCCAAGCCATAAACCACAAGCAGATATTGATTTATCAGACAATGTAGTGGCTTACTGTTGTGCACAACAGATTTCTGCGAAGCAGAAAGAGAGAAAAAAAAACATGCGATTGTCTGATTCAATTTCTATGTGGTTATCAGAAAAGTGTTTGTTGTACGTAGACGAAGGTTTAGTATATTAATTAACTGACTTCAAAAAATATAGGGTTGAAGTAGTTTTTCTTAAACTATTTTCGAATATGATGACACAATCAAATTTATTGACATGGTTAACAACATATAATTATTATATGAAATTTTATTTAAATTCATAACATAACATCACGCGAAGGGGTAGGCTGAGGTGCACATTATGCTATACCACTGTACAATGTAACACCCACTTTTCACTATTTATGTTATGAGTCCCATGTAATAGGAGGTGAGCCTATTGCCATATACCGGCCACAATTCCAAGCTCCGTGCATCCATTTTTTCACCCAGTAATACTTTGCCCGACCCGGGAATCGAACCCGAGACCCCTTGCCCGGCAGTCGCACTTGCAACCACTCGGCCAACGAGGCAGCAGTATTTAAATACACCCACAAAAAATACTAGTATAGGATTTCAAAGCATATTTCACGCTACTCTTTTTTTTCTAATGCCATGATAACTAATATTCAGATAATTAAAACACAACTTCTTTATATTTAAAGAACACAAAATCTATTCCCATATTACCTATTAAACTGTCAATCACCAAGCGGTCACCGGTGACCGCAACCTATTGTTCTATAATTGTGTCTACAAAACCGGTACTCGACGAGTTAAATACATTCAGAAATATATCCTTCAATGAATACGAAGCCAGAACAAAATCAAAGTCTGATCGTTTTATACTAAAACAGATTTTAATAGCTGCATTCCCTTTGTCTGTAAATAAACGGATGACAGTAATAGTCACCATGTGTTTCTTGCATTCAGTGTTCTGCTGACATTTTTATATTCCTTATGTCCGTGTGAAGATCCAAAATAATTGTACTTTTATGGTTTATTATGTTACCAACGCAGTGTTTAGCGGCGATGACAACTTGATGACATGATAATACTATTTATTTGAAGCTGTTAAAACGAGTTGATTCATATTTTCTCTTTTGGTCGTTTTTGTTTGTGGAATTGTTTGAGTTTGTATTAGGAGGCGTAGCTGTATTTTAGTGTTTGTTTGTTGTATTCTTATATGTATTTCCATTGTTATTAGGTTTTGTATTTTGCTTGATGTGAGTCACAAATTTAAATGTGGGAAAGCCATGCTTCGGCACGAATGGGCCGGCTCGACGGGAGTGATACCACGGCCTCACAGAAGACCGACGTGAAACAGCGCTTGCGTAGTATTTCGTCGCGTGAGTGAGGTTACCGGAGGCCCAATTACCCCTCCCCCCTTTTCCCAATCCCTGTATCCCTAACAATCCTTAAATTCCCAAAAGGCCAGTAACACATTTGTCGTGAACGCATCTCTGGTGTTCCAGGTGTCCATGGGCGACGCCGATTGCTTACCATCAGGTGATCCGTCTGTTTATTTACTGACTAATCCTATAAAAAAACAGGTATGTCGTTGCCACAAAAGGACTGGGAGTTACTAGTATGTAGAGTTGTTTTTGAAAATGTCAAGAAGTAATGAGTAGATCTACTATTGTATATGTTTCTATGACTTAATACCTTGCTTTTTTGCACACCTCAAGTCAAATATTTGCGACCTCTTTTGAATAGTTTAGTCATAGATCGTGGTATATGTAGAAAAATAAACAAACTTTATAATTTAAGAGTAGCAGTTTATTATGACATTGATAAATCACATTATGTTCCTTTCCAATCGAATTTAGAAACAGGTTTATAATTTTATCGTTTGTAAAACGAACCCTTTTTACAATTTTTTTTTTATAATTTGAGAAATAAAGTTTATAGAAACATTAATCGGTGAATTCGCTGGAGGGAACGTTCTCGAAGAAGGCCTGTATATTGTCAACGATTCTGCTAATGATGGCCTTGACTATTGGTGGCCCGATTTCCTTCACGATTTCATTGCTGCTGGACTCAATCATCGCACGGGCGGCGTTACCTGAGGATTATGAAAAAATAACTCTAAGATAATAATTAAAAAAATAATAAGAAGAGAGAGAATTCTATAATGGAAAATAGTTATTGCATAACGTTCTCGATAAATGGAAGCGAGGCTGGTATTTCAGATATTTCAAACAACCAAAGTGCACTAGACAAGAGTCTTGTCTGTGAATTTTAATACCTAAATACAACTTCAAAGAATATATTATTTACCTACACTATAAATGTAAAAGGTCGACTAATTGACGTGTTTATGTAAACTAATCTGAATTTCAACAACAAAATAAATAGCAGTAAAACCTTTTCAAATATTTTTAGTATTGAGCTATTATTTATAGTTAGACAGAAAAAAAAATCAAAGACCTGTTTTGACGTCAAATGATCGAATAATTCTAGAGCTTATTTTTTTTTTTTATAGAATAAACCGGTAAACGAGGAGACGGATCACCTGATGGTAAACGATCGACGCTGCCCATGGATACGAACACCAGAGGCGTTACCGGCCTTTTGGGATTAGAAATTTGAGGATTGTTGGGGATTTGGGAATTGGGAAAGGGCAGGAGTGGTAAGTGGGCCTCCGGTTACTCACACGACGAAACACAACGCTTGTCACGACGTGAAACAACTTTCACGTCGGTCTTGTGTGAGACCGTGGTATCACTATATTTTTTATAACCTTTAATTTTAAGTACCTTGAAAAGATGACGGAATACAAAACATTTGTCACGATCCTTATTCTTTCTGTATGTATCTTAAGAGCCATTTATAAGACTAATGCACGTTTTCACCAACACCTTCTATACTTAAAGGCCCCTACACTAAGATAGGTGACATTTTACGTCATTAATATTTTCACCAATCTATAAGTGACACCTGACTGTACAAGTAAGGTGTTAGTTTCGGTGCTATGACACCCTAATTTTTAGTTAAGTGACAAAAGTCATAATATTTGACAAAGACCGGGGTAGCAGCGCTTTAAAAATTAACCTAGCGTGAAACAACGCTTGTGTTGTATTTCTTCGTGTAAGTGAGGTTACCGGAGGTCCAATAACTCCTCTCCTCAATCTCCCCAATCCTCGAATCCCCCGAAATCCTCAAATTCCTAAATCGCAAAACGACCGTATCACACGTGTAACGCCTCTGGTGTTTTAGGCGTCCATGGGCGACGCGGATTGCTTACCATTAGATGATCCGTCTGTTTATCGGCTTATCCCATAGAATATCCCATAGGATATTTCACCAGGTAAGGGTGTAAATTATGGCAAACCTCTTTTTTGCAGAGGAGACATGCTAGTCCTGTAGTGGACTCATGGCCCATTAATGTATAGTAATATGCAAGTTTAAGTTAATAAAATATCAGAAATGTAGGTACTCACCCAGAACTTGGTTTCCGTTGAAGAGATTTTCCAATTCGATGGTAGACTTTTCTTTGACATCGTAAGTGTGTTTCCAGTTCTTGATGCTCCAGTGTTTCTCTCCATCACGGCCAAGGTTGTCACCGATATCAACGTCCGTGGTGATCACTACTTTTCCTGTTTAATAGAACATTGGAATAATAAGTAAAAAGTTTTTTTATATATTTTTTAATAATTCGTTGTAGTATATATGTAGTAATATTCCTTTATAGAACTTCCAAGGCTTGTAGCTTTTACATAATTATTTAATTTTATGTGCACTGTTTCAGGCAGCGGTTTTTGGAGTATAAATAGTTATCTAAGGAAAATATTTCTAGGATGTTAATAAATATAATATGTGAACTTACTGAGTACAACGTGAGCGTCTCCCTTTCCTTCAATAGGCAGCATGAGCATACGTCCTTTCATCTCATATTTTCCAACAAAGTCGACGCTGCACTGCAGTTTTACAGTGATTTTCGATTTTCCAATATCACGCCTGGAAAAGAAAAAGTATGTTATGTTTCCTTTATGTGTGTTCGGACAAAATATGTTAGAGTTACAGTAAAAATTACAACAATTAGCAATGTTCGTTTCCTGCACTACGTTCTTGATCAAAATATTGGAGAAGTCTAAAGGCAGAAGAACTCATGTGACTCAATAGCAGGCGCTTGTTTTTTATGAGTCAACACATTGTATTGTTCTGATATATGTAAATCAGATACAGTACTAGACAAAGTGACCGAAACAAATCTATGTTTAAAAAAAGCTTTATTCCACAGTAAAATTTTCTCCTGTGTCGTAGGTGAGTTTCATATTCCATATGACACCCGGGCCCGTAGCAACTAGTTGCCTGTCGAGCCACTGCGCCAATCGTATAAGAATAACAAGAAATATTATACTTACTGCACTTTTTTGGCGATGCAGTCCTTAAGTCCAGTGCCAGTAATGTTCCAAAGAAGCAGCTTAAGGGTGGGGGAGCTAGCGTCCAAAGTTTTCATGCTGAAGGGGTCCAGTGTTTCCACTCCCAGCTCTGGAATACCGGCAGCAAGGATCGGGATAGCATTTTGTGCCGTTGCCTTAATGCATTTTGAATCGTCCCATTTACATTTCTCTATGAAAGGTGCTGTAAAAGGAGTTGTATATGAAAATGTTATGTAATATATTTGGATTTGTGTTTATATTTTTTTCATCACGTAATGTATAAAATCCCAATGTTTTGACTAGATACTGCTCATAAATATTAAAATGGACAGCGTTTTTATAAAAGAAATTTTAATAAAATATGCTAATGTTTTTATTATAGGCAATTTGTAAAATGTACAAAAGAATTAAATCTATTATAAGGTTCTTTTGTATATTTTGATATCCAATGATGTATTAAGTACAAATTAAAACACATACCGTAAGCCGCGTCAGCGGTGTATGCAACGCTAAGTAAAAGTGCAACAAATAAATATTTTGAGTACATTTTTTCAAAATGATATTGTTCACTGAGCACAACCGTACAGTTCCGAGTTTTCCCTGCGTATATATAACTGAAACCCCCATACATACATATATATGATACATGCATATACTTGGTACACAAACTAGGTCGTTTGTAAAGCCTTTAATAATATCATAAATAAAAATTTAACAGTTCGTTGACATAGTATCTCCGATTGTTTTGGGTTCATTTGACCGGCATTTCTTATTTGTTCAGACTATTTTTCCTAGTGTAGGTATAAGCTTACTCGTCGTTTTTACTTGTGGAATCGTTTTACTACCTACGTGGATATCGATCATCACATTAATTTAATTTAAATAGGCTTTAAATAAACGTTTTCCATTTTTCAACATTACTCCAATATTGTAATTCGAATGATTATCTTTCTAACTACATCATACCTTTATAGCTAATCCTCTTTTAGACGTAAATCGCTGAACTAAGGGATCGCCCTTAATCCACACAAAATCACAATTTGCCAATAACTTCATTAACTGATTGGTTACTTTAACAATTTTGTCGATTTACTAGGTAAAGAATCTCATATTTACGTCATACATCAACAGCCTACAAGTGGCCATTGCTGACCAAAGGAGAAGGTTTGAGCTTAATAATAATCACCACGCTTACTCAATCCAGGTTGTAGACTTAATAACATAACACATACGTAGTAATTAAAAATTATAAGCCCATGTTTCCTCACGATGTTTTCCTCCACCGTTAGTCAGTGGTGTATAAATAGTCTTAAAAAGTACCTACATAATATAACTCGGAAAAAGTCACATTGGTACTTGCCGTTGGTAGGTTTCGAACCCGCATCCTCATACATGAGAAGAGTTGTGACGCCGGTCTGATCCAGTATCCGGCCTTTATCTTCAGGCTACCACGACACGGCAAAAACATCTCGCTACGCTCATCAAAAACTTCGAACGTGTACAACATTTTTGAAAAGAAATACAACATTTTTGTTTTTTTTCTAATTTTATTCATCTAAAAAAGAGCTGGACAAGCAAACCCAGGTGTGCTCATAACATGTATGAAAATGTTACCTCATAACCTGAAAAAAAATGTCGCGAATTATGATACCTAGGTCGGTTCTGCAGCAAGAGTTCAATACTCCGTTAAGTAAGTGTCTTGAACCGCGAGGGTAATGTCTTTGCTATTTATCAAATTGATGGTAATACATCCTACAAGATTCGGTAAAACTTTTTACAGGCGTTTATTGCTCTAGCGGTTGTTTGGTATACATACATAAGTAAATGCATTGTAAGGTATATTATTTTTTTTATTACGTATGTACATACGTATCGACTTCAGGATATGCGAAGATGAAGAAGCATGTACAATTAAACTTGTTCTAGACATTTTCAACCATAAATGTCTTATTGTTATAAAATGCTTTCTAGTAACAGGGTTGGCAACGTGCTACTGATGCAATCATGTCTAAGGGTAAAAACTACTAATAGGCAATACCGTCGGCCCATCAAAATTAAATATAAAAAAATGTTCCGTCATTTGACGATAGCATGCATCCTTCACAAACAGTAGACGACCTACAAATGACAAGTGCTTGCATCTTAGAAATAATGAAAACTGTCCACGATGCGGCAATGTTGAAACAGCCTATCGTTTTTCACGATTACATGCATTCCTAATCCTCAAATGACGCAGCGTGGACAGTAAGTCTATGTAAGTTACGAAAGCTGCCTTCTATCAGGCAGGGCCGTTATGTTTGCCAACTTCAGATATATGAAACCTAATATCAAAATTGATTTTGACTTCAGTCACACCAGTCTCAACTGGTATATAATCTCTCTGTTCCCCGACCCTCAAGGTCTAACAAGACTAATACAATTCGAAAGAAAAGACGACCGATCAGGAAACAATTTTCATTTAACTTTTGAATTTCAATTTATGTGTTTTAAATTAGATCATTGTACTATAGGGGGTGCAAACTTAACGCTCTCGAATAAGGCCAACAGGTAATTGTAAAAAACGAGTTTCATTTTTATAAAACGAGGAATTAAATATTTCTTTATGTATGAAAATTAAAAATCTAATTAGTCTTTCTATTTTTATTTTGTCATATAAGAAAACAATACTTAGATGAAACGAATCAAAGTTTAGGAGTAGGAGGTAGCTACGTCATCTATACATATAATAAAATTGTAGAAAAGTGCTGTCTGTACATTGAAAATAAAAATAAAAAAAATAGCAGGGGCTATTGTTATGTCGATGTTGAACCCAAAAATGTAACTAACTTTTTTTTTGTCTGTTTGTCTGTTTGTCTGTTCACGCTAATCTCAGAAATGGCTTATAAATATATATATTTAACAGGGTGCGGAAAAGGTGATAGTGGTTTTATTCCTCAGATTCCTCTCATTCCAAAAAAAATTCCGTTTAATTTTAAACGAATTTAGTTTCCAGTGAGCCTATGTTTCGCCATGACAATTAATAAAGCTCAAGGTCAGACTCTAAAAGTTTTGGGTATAGATCTAAGTATCAGCTGTTTTTCCCACGGTCAATTGTATGTGGCTCTGTCCCGTGTTATCAATCCCAGCAGCCTGTATGCTTTCACCCCCGATGGCCATACGTTTAATATTGTATATAGAGAAGCATTACAGTAAAGTACGTTTTTTAGCTACCCAAAATGACTGTGATTATGATCCAAATCTAAAATAAAAATAAGTATATATTTAAAAAAAAAAACGCTGCCATAGTCACTATTCTACGCGAACGAAGTCGCGGGCACAGCTAGTTTTAGAGTATAAATCATACTCAAAAGTCGTGCGATATTTTAAATCAATATTCTACGAAATTATTCGTTTCCATAAGAAAATAAAAAATACGTGTCTTATGTTTTTAAATAATCTATCAGATGAACTTTAAAATAAAAATTAGTCATCTACCCTATTCAGTTTCTGTTTTCCAGCATGGTATAAAGGCGTAAGTGTAAGCATATTATATTAAGTAGGTGAATATTAGACTAAAGGAAAAGTCTATAATAATTTAAAAACAAAAATTGTAGACATAACAAGAAGTAGTGTTTACATTATATATGTAGGTAAATAAACGGTATATTTTTATTATATGTAAAATGTCACAGATAAGTAACTTTACATTGAACTCAAAATGACCTTGAATTTGTGTTTTGAGTATATTTGTTCTAGAATCTTCCTCTAACGGTTTTTAACCACATGGCTGGTAGTTTTGGATCTTTGCTATAGAAGAATTATATTTTTTTATAATACATACCAAGTGTGTGTCACATAATAGTTCAAATTTCGTGTAGAGCTTGCGACAACAAGAATTGCAACAGAAAAAACGAGGAAAGTAGAACCAAGAAAAAAAACGACCATTAACAAATAAAGTCGGTGTTTTAATGTATCAATTATACAACAATAACTCAATCCAGAACAAGCTGTTTGGTAGGAACATGAGAGAACATGCTGTTGACGTTTTTAACAACTTCAGTGATACAGGCTGTGAAAAGTCCGCCTCCGATTTCATTGATGATTTCATTAGGACTATTGTTGATCAAATCTTTGGCAGCTTCATCTGGAATAAAGGACATCAGTTTGATATTGGTCGATTTTGTATTCGTAATTTTTAAAAAAAAAACGTTGCCGCACACTAGGGTTTTCTCCTGTGTCGTGGGTGCGTTTACAAACATACAATAAAACACGCACATGACACCCAGACCCGGAACAACAATCTGTGGATCACACAGAGAGTGGTTCCGTGCAGAAATCGAATCCGCGACATGTTGCGCGGCAGTCAGGTTTTGGACGGTTTTTGGACAACCAAGGTTTGGAAGTCATTGGACGATTTTATTATGGAATAGGAAGTCGAGTAGACGGATCACCTGATTGTAAGCGATATAATGATATTTGGCACATGTTTAGCTATAGAGTGGTCATTTTATGGGTGATATTATAGTATAATTTCGTATAGTTTTATAGCGTTTTTTACTCCATGCAAGGATTTTATCTCCATAGTGAAGACACCGACATTAAAGGTATATGTTAAAACAAGTAGTCAATCATATTGTTCTTAAACTTACTTAAAACTTTGTTCTCCTGGAATAACCCTTCAAACACTAGGTCGGACTTTTCCTTCAGTTCATAGGAGTGAGTGAATTTCTTGACTTTCATGTATTCTTCACCGTTCTTTTCCTTCTTCACAATATCCAAGATTACCTCGATTTCCAGTTTTTCTATAAAAAAAGTTTGTATTATTAAAGAAAGTTTGGACTTCATAAAGAAAAAAAGCAGGTACTGAGTATGTATGTGTGTGCGCGATTATCTAGCAACTGGTTGAACTGATTTTGATGCAGTTTTCAGAAAAGTATTTTAGACTTAGGAGAAGGTTTCAGTATATTGATTAGCCGATTTCAAAAAACAGGTGGATGAATTTGGATTTTTAAAGGTTAGTTTATAAAAGAATTATACTGTGCGTTTATATTTAAAACCTTGTAGTTTATTATTAGTTTTATAAATTTATTTTTCATCTTGATCATTTTTTTGTAATTATTTTTTTTTATTTATTTATTTACACTTTTTGTAGATATACAACGGCGGACTTAATGCCTAGTGGCATTCTCTAACAGTCAACCTTAGGGTGGTGCAGAGAGATACAATAGTAGGTGTAAACGTTTAACACTTATTAGAGTGACACAACAATTAACATTAACATTAACATCATATATAATTATACATATCACACAATATATACTAATTAAATATAATGAAGAAGTATTAAAATATATACGTAATGCAAAACGAACAATAGACAAATAAGTATAGGACATATATATACCTAAATATACGAAGGAAAATACATAACATAACATATATACATACATAATTATACACATATATATATATATATAAATACGTACAAGACCTAAGTGTGTGTTGAGTCTGCTAGCCTCTTCTGTAGATACTCACGAACCTTAAATTTGACTTTAATTGACTTTATGAAAAAATAAAAATTATGATTTCT